AGACCCGAGACCCGAATGCCGAGTGCCGAGGCTTGAAGTCCGAAACACGAAATGAGTGGAAACGCACATTTCGCAAAATTGTTAACATGGAAATATTAGATTGTCTTCAACAGTTTGCTGGAAGTCTTTGCCGATCCCCGAGCCGAAACCCGAAACCCGGAAAACCTAGACTCATTACAGGTTTTCTGGGTTTCGGGTTTCGGCACGGGGATCGGCAAATGACTTCTGGCAAACTGTTGAAGACAATCTAATATTTCCATGTTAACAATTTTGCGAAATGTGTTTCCACTCATTTCATGTTTCGGACTTCGAGCCTCAGCACTGGCATTGGTCGGGTCTTGGGTCTTGGCACTCGGTGAATCGATAAGTCACTGATAAGTTTCGTGGTTTTGCGATGGGACCTCCGTGAAATTTGTAAGAAATACCATATGGTGTATTGTGTCCAGTGTCTGTTGCGAGCCTCGGGCTTCGGGCATGGCACTCGGCACTCGGCACTCGGTACTCGGTACTCAGTGATTCAACCATTGAGTTTTGGATTTCGGTGTTCTGGGAGTAACACTTTCATGTCAACAATTTTGCAACATTTAGTCTTCCACTCGTTTCGAGTTGCAGGATTCAGGCCTCGGTGCTCAGCACGGCACTCAGTCTCGGTCGGAACTCGGTGAATATAAGTCACTGATAACAAAGGTAACATTGATTGAAAACATTGCATATACATCTATGACTATTTAATTATGTAGTCATGTCAACATCCTCACCAGAAGGTTCACCCTTCACTTGAACATCCATCTCTTCAACTGAATCATACTCTGGGAAAAGATTGCCTGGATCATCGGTTTCACAATTTCGCCGGGCATCTGTGAAACCTCAGGATGAATTTGGTTGAGCTCAAATATGAGTCCGTCGATGGCAGACTCATCCTGGAGGTTGGGGGGGTTGGGCTCCATCCCTTCCATAGACAGGTCAATGAGAGGAGGAAGTGCGGATGCGGGGGTTGACATGGCCGGAGGGACAGGTTGATGAAGCAAAAATGATGTGCATCACCTTGGGCGTCCGGAAGTGGAAATGTTGGGTGCCGGAGGATGATTTCGCATCGAAGGCCTTCATGAAGGCATTGCAGGGTGTCAATCTTAGCATCCTGCTCAACAACACCAGTAGGGCTGCACACCGTACTGTATACGGTAGACGGCCGTACACATACGGTAGAGGTATGGTAGATGGTAAACCCGTCTACCGTACATAGTATTGGCGGTGGACCAAGCGGACGGTATGGTACGGAGTATTATACGGATGTATACGGTGATGTACGGTACATACAGAATGTTAATCAACTATGAACAAGCTCATTTAGTGCCAAACGAGCCAAGCAAAGCCTTGCCTTCACGAGCATCAACGTTTTGATAGTCTCAGGCTTGAGACTTGCACGTCGCAGTGAGATTGTGTCGTGACCACCGGAGAAAATTCGTTCAACAGCAACAGCAGATCCTACAAAGAAGAGAACTAAGTACAGACACCTGGAACGTGAAGTGAGTACTCACCAGGTATTGAAAGGACATCACGGGCAAGTTGAGAGAGGTTTGGAAACTGTGCTTGGCGACCCACCCACCACTGAATGGGGTCGCAAAGGTCAAAGTCCTCTCGTGGAAGTTTTAGGTACTCCTCGAATGCATCTACCAAAACATTTGACCGCTTCTTGTACCTCGCCGTGAAATTCATTTTTGAGGGAGAATTTCTACCATCAGACACATTTGCGTGATGGCCTGTGCTGGAAGACAGCGATGATGCACTGTCCTGCGCAACGGATGTAGTGGCATAGTCTTTTTTATACAGGGCATGTAGGTCATTCTTCAGTGAGTTGATTTGCGACTGTGTACTTGCATCATTGGCATCACAATCATCACGGAGACCTTCGTAAGTGATGCGGGGATCGAGAACTTGAACTAGATTAGCTATTAAAATAAATCTAAATTCAGTGAGAACTCACTCGAAGCCCAGACATAGTACGGTGAGTCATCAATCTTGAAGAAGTAGTCGCTGAGCTTCCGATGCGCGTTGATCAAAGCAAGCCGTATCTTTGTTGGGGCTGAGTCTGGAAGATTCGCTAAATCATCCCGAAGTGACTCCTCAAGGCCACGAAATATAGCGTGAGCCGAAGACAACATTGGGCGCTTGGTTGTTGACATTTGAGTGGTTGCTGACCGGAATGCCTTCAGCCACCCCATCACTAGTTCAATTGCTTGCCAATCGTCATCAGAAAGTTCATATTGTCATATTTCACGTGTCTTTGCCACAAAATCGTTGATAGCCTTGCGGGAATCCAATGCACGGCCTGTGAATTTGATTGGTACTCAATCATAAGTTATGAAACTGTACTTACGAAGCATTTGATGTGTCGATGACCAGCGGGTCTTGACGTCCAAAATGAGCATGAGTGCAACTTGACTGAGTGTATTATCAGTCTTCTTGAGTGATATCATGACCTCTGCAAGCCATGCCTTGCGTCGCTGTGGGCTTGACCGAACTGACCAAACAATCTTTCGAAGCTGTTGGATCCATCCATTAGTAATGTGTTTTACAAAACTGTGATTTCAATACCTTGTCGACAGCCGACAAAACCCCCTGCAGAGTGCCAAATTGATCCGCTTCATCAAGAAGTGCAGCGTTATCGTCAATCTCACAGTCTATGGGAGCAGTAACTGAGTCCTGGTATGCAGATTCTCTACGTCTCGAATTTGGCTTGATAGCACCAATGCCCTCAAGAAGCTGCATTGCAGATAGGTGCACAATATGTGGCAAACAATGGATCCGTGCTTTCTTGTGCGAGAAGTCGATCCCCTCAGCGGAACACTTTTCTTCAAGGGATTCAAGTAGTGTATCATTGTTCGTAGCATTGTCGCATACGACACCCATGATCTATGACAAATGAGTACATAAAATCATGTGGACCTGCTGTTTTGTACCCGATCTTTGAGTCCTGTAAAGTTCGAGTGTGTTCCACACAGCTTCGGCAAGATTTGCACCACTGTGTTCGCCAATAATTTCACAAAAATCGATCAAAAGCTCTTCTGTTGATGCGAAGTTGAAGGATGGGCACAAAAATGGTGGGAGGGACATACCTAACTGCCAGTCATTGGTCACATAATGCATGATAATTGCAAGGAACGCAAATTGGTTGCTCGAGGTCCAAGCATCTAGGGAAAGGCTCACTTTCGCCTCGAGTTCCTGAAGAAGGTTGTTAATATATGAGAAAATCTTTTTTGAATTGTTCAACCTACCTGAACCATGTCTTTGATTCCTTGGATAGTCTCGTCACCCATCTTCATGATACGACGTTTGATTGCCATTCGTCCAGGGATACGTAGCGAACCTTGGTGAGTGTACTCAATGAATGCTTTGAACTCTGGCTTTTCAACCTCATCAAACGGCTGGTCGCATGCAACAAGCCATTTCGCAAGCAGGTCTTCAAATTTGTCTTGGTTCCAGTCACCGAATGCTTTGTTGACTTGCTTGTTGAAAGCGTCAATGAGATTTGCAGATGCTTGCTCAAGCTGTGTCAGGTATGCTGCTGCTGCGTCAGGATCAAGAACTTTTTCGCCTCGCGCCATTTTGAGCTCATCTTCGGTGGGAGGTGTTCCGCGAGACTTCAAGATGAGGTATAGCCGATACATAGGTGGAAAATGTGTTTTGAGATGCCCGACCAAGCCTGATAGTTACACTGTATTAGCAAGAAAGATGGTAGCCGAAACACGATATGACTTACCATTCAGGCTGCTTTTCATTGCGCGTGTAATGGTGAGGACCTTCCGATTACCCAAGTAACATTTGTAGTGTTTATCTCCCGGATCACCAGCCTGACCTGCAGCATTCGACTGTACAACATCATAAAAGTGATATATTGGGTTCCGCTTCGTAGCCTAATAATATCGTAAGAATTGAACTCTCTGAGACAAAACGGCACCATACCTTGACAGTAGGCACAGAACTTCGAAGGGGTAGAGCATCTTCCAAGTCGACAGGACTTTCTTGCATAGTCATGGTTGTAGCGGCTCTTCGGCTGGCAGATGCCCGAGTGGTTAACTTTTTGGTCAAGCGCTTGCGCTTGTTTCGCCTGTTTGATTGTTCCGGAACTGTTTTTGAAGGTAACAAGTGCGCGAGCTTGTTTTGCATAATATTGAGTTTATGAACAATGCTCTAGAGCACAACTCACCTCTTCGTTCGTGATTTCAATGACATCCGATTCACGATCAGAGTCCGATGTAGTATCCGACGGCAAGCCTGAAGAATGAGTGTAGTCACTCCCTTCATCATCCAGGTCACCTTCAACGGTAAGACCCTCAAAGCGATTCTGGGTGGTTTTCGACTTCTTGGTTCTCCTGGGCTTAGACTTGGTGGCACTCTTAGGGTTGATGCTCTGACGTGCGAGATGGGAGAGAAAATATTTCATAGGTCAATATATTTGTTCTGGGGAGACTACGAAGAGTGACGAGTGGATACTAAGTGAATGGGCGAACGCGCGCAGCGCTTCCGGCCCCGATTGAAGATCTGCCTAGGAGAAAACAGGTGAGCTGCGAATCCCCCAACAGGTTAGGAGTCCGTTATGACGCGTCGCAGCGAAGCCGCAGAAACCCAACAAGGTAGGAGGAAGGGGTACTCATGGGCAGTGGACTTCAGCGAGTTCTGGGCATGGAGACTCGAACGAATTCTTCGTGAATGGCGGGGATGGCTTGCATGTATGGTGCCATGATTTGGGCATGCTTCCGCAGGTAAGACTGGAAGGCGTCACTAGCCCAGTGGCCCTTCGTCTTGACGACTTCGAATGGGACATTTCGGAGTAGGTATTTGAGAGTGGAACCAATGCGGATACCATGTCCCTGAAGCGGATCCATTCCCGCTGCTCTAGCTGCTTCTGCTAAGCGGGATATGAATTTTTGCTTCGTGAGAGGTCTGTGGCCCTTCTTGTGACGGTAGGCAAATAGCGCGGAACCAGGAGGGGGTGCATTGACTGCCAAGTGGTTGAGAAATGCTTCCTCTGGGTCTGAGGGTCCGTTCTGCTTGGCGAACGAGACGTCTTCGCCGTTCCTCGAAGTTTTTGTTCGGGGAATGTGAATTACCCTCATCTCGAGATTGTTGCGGTCACGCTCGATGTGTACGTCTGACGGTTTGGCGTGAATGTTAGGGTCGAAGGATAGCAGGGTGGGCACCGTGAACTCTCCAACTCTAGCTGTGCAATAAAAGGCTGCTGTCAAACAGCTATATACTGATGCGTCGAGTGGGGATTCGAGTTTGAGCTGGTCGCGGAGTGAACATATGAAGTCAATGGTGTAAGGGCGCCTCTTCTTGCGCCTTGAGGAGCCGGGTGTTATGTTGTCTGCCGCTTTGAGGAGAGAGTCGATTTGCTCGTCATTGAGAACCCACTGGTGACCATGTAGGATATGCCACGCACGGACACCGAAGACATAATTTGCTATTGTTTTGCCCGAGTATGATCCTGCCGCAAATGCGATGAAGGTGGCAATGAGAGTGGAATCGGCGGGAGCACGATCTTGATCGGGAATTGAACGTGAGTCGCAGTATACATGAAACACGAGAAGACCAGAACCGTATGACTCGCGGGTGCTTTCAGCCCAGGCATGTATCATGACATCTTGGATCCTGTTCATGTCACTGGATGCGAGGGAGCTGGGGGGAAGCCTGGATGTGGCTGGTAGCCATAGTCGAAGCCGATCTTTTGCTGCACAGTGTGGACGTAATGCTGATGGGATTGGGGGTAAGGTCAACAGGATAGGTATGCTTCCGCCGTTTTGACGAGTTGCTCCCCTTGGCGCTCGAGCTGCCAGTTAGCGAAGGCACGCTTGGCGAGCTCTGGTTGGATACGGGCTTTGGCATGGTCGTGAACCGAGACCTGGGTGTGGGGTTTGCAGATCTCGTTTGGGTGTAGAGGAGCGTCGAAGTCAACGAGGAAGTTCCGGAGAGAGGAATGGATAGGAATGGGGGGCAAAAGTAAGGAGCGTGGAGGGTACTTTCCACAGGAGGCTCCGTCAGCGGGGTTAAGGGCGCTAGGCACATAGCGGGTGAGGACTGATGCTGATGCGGATTCCGTGATGCTGTGGATGTGTTTGAAGACGCTATTGGTTGCGCGGTTGCGGCTGCGCCCTTTCCACCAGCCTTCAACAACTCCTCGGTTGTCTCCGTAAACCTTGAAATAAGGTATTGGTTTGGGTTTGGGAGCGCGTGTGATGGCAAGGACGAGGAACTCAAAACCGATGGCTTCAGCCCATCCAATGTCACGGTTGTCATTTTTCCAGCCAGGAACGAGTCTCCATGCCCTCCACCAGCCGTCAATCCAAATTGCGACACCCACGCCTGAGCTAGCATCTGAGAAGGCGTTGGGATCAACGACTTCGCATGGCCCTGGGACGGCTCTGCAGATGGTAGGTTTGCGGAGGGTTGCAGTCCACCATCTGAGATCTGCAGGACAGTCCTTGGGAGGGGAATGAGGTACGAGCGGACGATTACCGAAGATAGGAAGCATGGCTTCCAACTCGGTGAGGTAGGCTCTTCCAGCGGGAACAATGAGTGCGGCATGCAAGAGCTTGCCATAGAGTTTTTGGACTTCGGCAAGGGTGTGGCGTGGTTGGGCCTCCCAGGTTGAGATTGCCGCCAAGTACTTCTCCTTTTTCCCGGCCGCAAGTTCAACCGTGTGGGAGTCCAGGTGCCATATGAAACCTGTGAATGGTGGCTCGGAGCTGAAAGGTACATCTTTCGATGGTTCCCATGGTGTTCCTGTCTGCGCGGAGAAGAAATCAATGTCGTCGAAGCAACATGAAAATAGGGCATCTTGGGGAGAACGTGGTGCTCGTTGGGAGAAATCGCGGATGGGGAATGAGCAATCCTCGTCGAATTCTTCCACTCGCTCGTCTGGGAATGAGATTCCTCGATACCATTTTCTCCCGCCATCGATGCGAAGTCCACCAGAGGCCTGTATGCCCTGAGCCCAAGATGTTCTCTGCTCGTTGTACCTGTCCAGGTACTTGAGGAGAATTCGAAAGAAAAGGTGGTCGTCGACCCACTTTGAAAGCGGGCCAATTCCTTCACTGCGCAGAACATCCGCCCCTGCATCTGCAAGTCCACCGTAAGACCCTGCTGCCGACGAGCACCCGAAACAAAAACTAGTGTCAATTGCAAACTCATCTTCTCCTGTACGTACCGCGAGGCCTGGGTATTGGGAAGGATGGAGGGGAATGGTTCTATAAGCTTCTGCGACATCTCGCGTTGCTCCTTCAGAGCCAGGAGGGAGTCTCCAGACCAATAACGAAATAGTAGCGAATGTACCATATGTACAAGGGTAGATGTTAGAGTCGATGCGTGAATTAATGGATTGAATGTGTTGTGAAGGAGAATTTGCTTCGTGTGATAGGTTCTGGATGAGGCGGAATTTTCCCGGTTTCCCAGGTTTGGGGATAAGAGAAAGCGGGGAGGTTTGGAAAGGGCCAATGAGTGACTCCAGGTTTGCTTTGGAGAGCGGACCCAGGTAGCGGCCAGTCTTAAATTCTCGGGCAAGGATCGTGGCAAAGGCGTCAGCGTGTTGGATGATGGAAGGGTTATTAGGTGGTGTGTATGTATTTGTAATGATGGGAATACTACCAAAGAAGCCGTATTGTAATGAGTGTGGTATATGCGGATATTTAAGTATAAGACGAGATTTTGTAAGGACCTGAAGCCAAACATCGGGAATATACGGGGTGAGGGCCTTAAGCCTCCTGTCCTCGAGGACAATTTTGAGCTCCGTGATCTGCGTTCCCGCATCCAGAACATTCGTGCACATGGTCTTTGCTGGTGCTTGAACAACTGTTGGGGTGTTGCCAATTGTAGCACAGCTGTAGGCCTCGGGCATTGACGAGACGACCCTCGGCATTTCGACGACAGGAAGTGGGAGTTTTGCTGTCCCATAAGAACTCGCTCTTGCATTTGTGCACATTGTGTGCGAAGCGGCCGAGGCAGAGGGCGCAAGCATAGTGGCCGTTGGATGCTGCGCCAACCTGAAAAGACTGCCTGTCTTGGGCAGGTTTTCTTTCATCTTGTCGCGCACGCTGCCGGTTCGGAGAAGAAGGGCGGGGGGGAAGACGACCAGAGGAATTGCGTGGTGGAGAGCAAGAACGAGATCTAGCATGCCGCAACCCATTGCGATTCTGATTTCGGTGCGAGGCAGGCTGGTCCCGGTTTGGGTTTCGCTGCGTTTGGTGGCCAAGCTGAAACTGGAGGTATGGGAAGCGGGGGAAAGGGGCCGATGGTGATGGGAGCGAAAAACAGAAGCAGAGAGGAAGCATGTAGTGGAAGCGGAGAGGAAGCGTGTAGCGGAAGCAGAGAGGAAGCGTGTAGCGGCAGCAGAGAGGAAGCATGTAGCGGAAGCAGAGAGGTAGCATGTAGCGGGAGCAGAGAGGTAGCATGTAGCGGAAGCGGGAGATGGCAGCAGTTGTCACATTTTTTGACATAAGTATGAGAGGGAGCGGATGACGAGTCAGTATTGACAGCCGCTTGCACAATGTTTGAAGCATACTGACCTCAGTGAGGCTCTCGAACCGTGTTTTATTCCAAATTTCCTCAGTCATGTTCTTCAGTAACAGCAGATTGAATACACTGATGTCAAACGCGTTGTCTAGAACGAGAAGATCGTGCCAGTCTCGTCGTACACGAGCTGCGTATAGGAGTAGGGCTCGTTCGCCAAAGGGTTCGGAACGAGATGGGTGCGCCACAATGTTCATGAAGAACATGGTCAGAGCACGCTGATGTTTCTCCGGCCAATTCAGTTTGTTGATGTAGAGGAGGAAGTTGTTCTTGGCCAGGTCAAACTGACGCCATTCGAGGCTGTGATCCTGGATGGCCTTGCGTGATGCTTTGAAGGAGGCCACTGGTTTGAGAGCGACGAAATCGTCGACTTTGGCGAAGCCGAATGTGTCGTCCGCAGTTGACTTCGCTTCATCTGAGGTTTCCTTGCAACCGTCTGGGCTGAAATACCACAATTCGACGTACTCAAAGGTTTTGAGCTTGTGGATCGCATACTGAGATGGGCGCGGGGTAAGGGTGTCACCTATGGCCATTCCGCTCTTGAAGTCGTTGATTTTGGGTTTCTTCTTTTCGACCTCGCGTAGCTCTGCTTCAGTCTCTTGTTCTATGCATAGGCGTTCTTGCTCCAGATGCTCGTGCTCTGCCTGTGCGGCTTCAGCTGCTAAGCGCGCATCTTCAGTCTCTTGCTCGACCCAGGCGATGCTCCTGAGGTTTCGGTCTTGCTGCCACGCTGCGATCAGATCAGCAGCTACTTCTTGGTGCGTCGTTTGCGTGCCGCCGATGATTCGATTTCTGAGGAGTTCGAAGGTAGGGGAGGCAAAGTCGGGTTGAATGTCAAGTGCTGGGTTTGTTGCGATTCTAGCCATGTTGTGTAAGTGAGAGTTTAGGTTTTGTGAATTTTATGAGAGCTCTTAAGATATGATGGGAAAGACGGATGATTAACGGGAAGAAATAGAAAAGAAAACTCGCTAGGATTAGATACTGCGAGCTACTAGATGGAGGAGCGGAAACAAGAGACGTTACCGGCGTCTTCCGCTCTCCCGAAGACCTTACTCTAATCCTTCGCTCGTGCCTCGCTACGGAATAGAGCGGCCATTTTTCTTGGTAGGGACTTTTTCTTGAAGTGTGATTTTTTTCGGAGTGTGACTTTTTTTTTTTTCAGAGCGTTACTTTTTTTAAGAGTGTGACTTTTTTTATTCTGGATGTGACTATTTTTTGGTGACTACCTACTTTCTATGAAAAAGCTTCAATTTCGTTATTGTCCAGTGCGGTCACCCATAAAGAACTGCATAACGCTAAACAAACATGTATAGAACAATTCTTCTCATTTTAATCATGTACTTGCGTAGGAATTATTGATAACTTTCTGTCACCCTTTTGGTGGACGTCACACATGTCACAAGTATGTGACAAATATCGTCTTGCATATTCCTCATAATGCATAACATTTTGGCGGTCCCATCGGTATGCATTATGACCATTTCAACTGTACATGTAAGTCACCAAATTTCAAGCGTCCTTCGAGCACATTCCTGAGAAAGCACAAATCAAGATCATTTCAGAGGATACTAATAGTGCAAGGGACTCACTCTAAGTCTGGAGAGATTGTGAACAATTGCTACATTCACAATTGTGCGTAACCTTCTCCTGAATTCGGGTTTGCTAAGGACTAGCTGGTATGGTCCAGAACAATGACAATGTCGCGACACGTTGTCCGAGCGAACTTGCTTGCACTTGCCGCAGCGCATGTCTTGTTGCGTAAACGTTCTTTCAAGTGATCCAACTAGTCTGACCAGCTCCATCTCAATCGCAATGCGGTCATACTCTCCTCCGCAACCCCCACAGATCCAACGTGGCCTAGCACCATCAAGGCCGTATGGCATAAGCTCTGGATCGCGGCAGAAGTCAAAGTCACGAAGTGTATCGCAATTCCGGCAAGGGACATTAGGTAATTTGAGCGGCTCGCATGGGTTGCGAAAAAGGGCTTCATTAGCAAACTCGCGCACACCAGCAAGGTCGAGGAGGTTTCGCTTGAGCAAACCAATTTCAACCTGGTAATCAGAAGCGAGGCCAAGCACGGTGGAGGTAAATTTGATGAATTCAAGAAGCGCATTTGTCATGTTGAGATGCGAACCGGGGAGGACAGGGAACTGGAACTGAGTGTTCAGTTCTTCGTCTATGGAAGCATCTCGTTGCTTTGCTTGGATAACACCAACCAGCCGAAGCAACTTGCGTGTGAGTTTCCTGGCGATAAACTCCCGTGTTGCGTCAGCTTCGTTGATTTTGCTAGGGTCAGGCTGGGTGAGCTCGGGAGCCATATTCCGAAGCACTCGGAAGGGTGCTCTTGAACCTTCACTATGCTTCTGCCGAATTTTGAAAAGCTCGACGATAAAGAATTGAATGACGGCACCGAAATCGTCTTGAATTGCAGGTGGCAGGAAAGTCTGGATATTCCACCGAGTCTCGATGGTGAGCTCTTCTGGCGGGTCAACAGCCAGCGGATCTTCACATACGATTCCTCCCATGTTTGCAGAGTCCATGAAAAGAAGGAAGTCGTAAAACCGCTCTGTTTTGAGGTACATATGTTCGAAGAGTTCATGTGATGTCACTGCTGTGGTTATGTAGGTGGCATATGCGTGAGCGGTGCCCGGAGGCTTCGAGGTCGCTAGCAAAATCCGGCTGAAGTCCGCGTGGATGACGTGAGATCCGAGTCGTTTAAATTCAGCCAACATCTGGATGAACGTTTTCCTCATGAGCCCATGAACGAAGCGATAAATATTTGGGTCGTGGAGATGGGAAGCACTTGTGCTGATCCAGCGCCAGAAGTGGTCGATTGCTAGAGTAGCTGGGCTTTCAAAATTTCCCTGGACTTTGTCAAGCAACCATGTCTTGACCATCGACTTGAGAATACCAAAGGTGAGACTCGAGATGTTTGACTCTCCAAGGGTAAGGTCACGCTGAGCATCGCCTCCGGAGAATTCATCCAGTGTCCGAGACACGGAATCAAATGCGGTTGCTCCGC